GAGCCAGTGTGTTATTTAGGATGGGGATAATTTGATGGTATATAAAGTAACATGATTGATGTCTACTTCTTTTAGAATAAAATAATTACATTGGCTAATGTGATATGAATTTTTACAACATAGATAAGTTGCAGTAGAGGAGTTTTAGATGATTAAAATTTTATTGACATTAAAAAAAAAAATATTAATAATAATTTGTCAAGGTTATTTTTTGTTTTATAACCTTTAGATGTTGATAAGAGCAAACTTTTATATGATTTATCTTTTCTTACATATTTTCCAAGGCTTTCTTTTGTCTTTTCTTCCTTTTATAAATAAATAATATCCATTAAAATGATTGAAATATTTTTAATATATCCATCATTTTGAATGTTAAATTGTTTTTATTCTATGCTTAAGTGAAAAATAATTATTCTGAACAAGTAATTGAAATATTTTTATCAATAGTATGAAAAGTGTCTTTAAAAAATGATTAATCTTCTTGTAACATTGGCCATAATAATTCTTGAGTATTTTATTTATTTTATGAATCATAAAGACTCAATGATGAACTTCAGTTCCATGTTATCTCAATCAAATGAAACATTTTTATTAACTCTATCCTAATTGAATAATAATATTTCTATTCCATAATATTTTTAACATTACAGCTAATCAGTTATAAATCATGATTATTTCCAAGATTAATTGTCTATAGAATTGTCTAGATTCGTTTGCCAAAATTTAATCTTCAAAATGAATCATCTTCAGATAATCTTCAATCGAATAATCCCATGGATATAAATATCAATCATATTGAATGATAAAAAATTCTCGTCTAATCCTCAAAACTATAACCAACAATTGACCTTATCATCAATTAATTCTTAAAATAAAATTAATAATGTCAACAAACATCACATTGACATGAAGATAAATTTTATCAATTCATTCTATTCCCATTGCTATTCATTCACTGTTATTAATAAATCTTATTCAACTTCTGCTGTCTCCAGTTGAATCCTCCTCTGTTATTTTCTCCACATCTAATCTCACTAGTCATGAACATGACAGTATGCTTGGTAACTCAATAGCCATACTGCGGTTTTACTTCCATCCTATCCAACATGTACACCACTGCAAGTACAGCTTGAAAAACTTCCAAGTAACTTCGTGATGACAGCAGCAAAAAAATCATAACTTTTGCTCAGTTACCAAGCTTGAATCTTCAAGATTGTTTCAACCCTTCTTTTCTTATCGTTGATTCTTTTTTTCTTGGATTTTTCCAAACTTCTTCAAAGTACAAGTCTTTCTTTATTGATTTCCACACCCACTCTACACTACACTTCTCAGTTCATTGTCCAGGAAGATACATCACCAACAAGACTTGGATCACTTGGAATTCTTCAATTTTGTCACAACAATTTTACAACTTGGAAAGCCATTCATAGCAGTTTTACAGCTATTAAGTCACAAGATATATATCCCTATTATTTACAAAATTGAAAGCTAAACAATACAAATGATCATAAATAACAGTAATTATTACCCTAAACTGGTACTTAAAAAGTATTTAGAACACAATTTTAATAAATTATATTTAATCATCAGTATTTCTCAAGTAATAATAACCTGATGCCTTACATAACATGTCGTTTTACAATGAATAATAAAACACTAGAAAATTACTATTTAATATCATCAAATATTATATTAATATAAAAATAATCTTTAATAATAGACACTTATTTCTTGGCTTGGTAATATCTCCTGATAGTTTTTGTTGTTAAATTGATATGATTATCAAATTGAATAGACTTTCCATCGAAAGTAAAAAAAAAAACATTGTTGAAAGTATATAATGCTTATTATAAGAAAGTATTTGTTTTATAGTTGACGTATGCGTGCAGTCCCCAGTGAATAATTATAAACGCTTTCATATCATCATCAACGATGTGTAAAATGACAATAAAGAATTTTTACTGAATTGTCTCTATGACTGTGTAATAAAGGAATAACAAACAGTGTCTCATGTCAATTCTTCTCTTGAGCTTACTTAATTAAAAAACTTTTTTATTTCTTTTTATTTTAAATTCAGTCATATCTTAATATTTTCGTTTAAATCCATCTTTTCAACCATCTTCTAGGGATAATGACATCATTTTTTCATCAACCAGGACAAAAAGAAATCTTCTTCTCTTGTTAAACAAAAATCCTCAAGAACAAATTTCAGAAAGCATATGATTTTTTATTCTTTTTTTTTTTAATTCAAATGACATTAAAGTTTCCTTTTTAATTTGTCTTATTTTTTTCTGGTAATTTTCATGAAAATTTCTCGGTGATCTACACTGTATTCAATTTGAATTTTAATTACTGAGTACTATGTCTCACTGACTTACTTGTCCTGGCACGTGTCCTTTCACATTAATTATAAAAGCGACAATTCAGGACGTGTGAATTGATAGTAGGGGTATAATAATTAGCACAGAAAGCTTGGTTGTTAACAACTCATTGCTAACTGTTTTTCATGTTTTTTATATTTACTTGCTACCACTGATTTCACTGATAATTCAGTTAACGACATTAGAATAGAAATCGAAACGAATTTATTCCAATTAAAGAATCAATTGTAATGGAATGTATATCTTCAACACAATTCTTCTTTTCAAGTAAATACATGTTTAAAGTATCATGTTTTTTATTAGAGTGATGAGTAAATTTTTTATTGCTAAACATACTTAAAGACGTAATAAATAAAAAATTACTCTGTTTATAAAAAATTGAAAATGACACATGAAGTATTTTTAACATTTTCAGATCAATCGTTCTTAAGATTTAAATATAATATACAGTTGCTATAATTTAATGGTAATTATTTGAATAATATTTTCTCAGTATATTATTTTATTTAATAAATTATCGATTATTATTGAATGATATTATTTATTTTATTTTCTTGACTTATTTATAGAAAGTAAAATTAATAGAATAATAAATTTCCAATTTTTCTTTTTCACTTTGAATTTTATCGTCTTTGAATAAAATAGAAAAAATGAATGAAAAATTTCAAAAGAAGCTAGAGATTGTTGATCCTCCCACAAAGAATGTAAATTCCTTATTTCAATATGATTTAATCTACATTTAATAATTACTTATTCAAACATTCTTATTTTTTTTATATCAATTTTTTAATCAATAATTTTTTTATTCAATATTAATACTGGTATTGAAAAGTAGCACAGAAAGTTTAATATTCATAATATGAAAGAAAATAATAAATGAAGAGATGAATGTGGGAAAAAAATTAATTTTTATGTTAAAAGTGTACTAGTATGTCCTTCAGAAGGTTTAATATTATTGAAAGAAACCACGAGAGAACATTTATTCTTGAGCATAGAGATGGAATGGCATCAAAGACTCATAGGAAATTAAATTTTCCAGTAGTATAAGCAGAGAGTATCTTGACGTGACTGTAGTGCCCTTTTCTTTAGCTCCAGAATTCCAGGATAATAATGAGAGAGATATTGTTAAAAGTGAAGGGCACTGGAGGGCGTGGTGCAGTGGTTCGATTCGTGAGAATAAGAAGAAAGTTGACTCGATCGTTTGGTCTGAAAGAAGCGATCAAATTACGTAAATTATTTCTGATGAAATCATTGCAATGATGATTATAAATTCGTCTTTTTTCCAATTATTATTATTAACTTTTTTTTTTGTTTTACCTTCTGTTATAATTACTCCACTTAATAAATCCACAGTTTAAAATACTTCAACTTGATGATAACAATCTCCTCATCCAACCCTTCCTTTATCCTTATCTCTATCACACAAATTATCTTTTTCAAGGCTTAAACCGTCTTTGAATTTGTTTGTAGGATGAATAAGAGACTTGGAAGAATGGGCGCAGGTAAAAATGAAAAAAAAAGTAACATGTTGAGTATTTGGAGCACAGCAGAGTTGCGTAAAATGAAGCGAACAGGTGGTCGAAAGGAGATCCGAAGAAGGCTTGCATAGTCCTTTAATGGTATCTTGTCTCCAAGAAAAGATTAAGCAAACTAAATATACTGTACTCACTGTCTTAAATTAAATTCTAATGAAAAACTTGTGGTGCTTCCTTGTCATTCAATTTCTTCATAAATTCATTCAATCACATTTTTATGGGCCCATTTATCACAGTTTTTTTCCATTAGTTTAAACTTTCTCTTCAAATTTTTTCATTTTCAGAGTTGTTTTTTTTTAAAACATAAATCAATACTTCAATTTTTTTGGTTTATTTAAAGAAATTTTATATTAAAAACATCATCAAGTCATTTAGTTAAACTTATTTGTTGAATCAATCTTTGTTTTATTGAATTAAATTAAAACTTCCTGTTATTGAATCAGTAACTTATAAGTTTTCATTTATGACTTATAATTTCATAATAAAATATTTATTTTTTATATTAATAATACTGTAATGTTATTGCAGATATTTAATATCAATAAATATTGTCAAGTTTTCATGAATAATAAAAAGAATCTTTGATCTTTTCTCCAACAAAAATCTTCAAAATGCAATTTGAAGTTGGAATGCAAATAAAATGACTTGGATAAAGTCATGACCACAACAAATATAACAACAAAAAGCTATTTGTTAAATTGGACAATCTAGTGCAGACCAGATTGTTCTGTAAACAATTCGACAAACTGGAACCAAGAGATTTGCTGATGCCTATCCCAGAGCATTAAGTCTATCAGCCTTTTCATAGCTGATTTTATCAAACTTCAAACTCAATATTCGATTTCAATTCTTTAAAAAAATTTTATCAAACTTCACAACATGTTATTAAAAAATATTGAATATTAAAACAAACTATGATCAGTAAAAATCAAAAATTTGGTCAAGAATGTTTGATTCTGGTATCAATAACCGTGATGGATATGTTCTGATGTGTTCATCAGATATCTGATAATTGTAATTAATCTAATAATGATAGGCATGCATGAGAAAATAATGAATATGAATTTATATTTACACTGCTCACCAAAACGTCCAAATGGTCAACCTTACTAACGAGATTTGAAAAGGAACTTTTGTCAGCAACCAACCATATTCCCACAGCCAAGGCTGCTCCACCAGCGATCTGTAATAAGAAGAATAATAAACAACTTGTTCATTTGAATTATCCATTGCATGTTATGACGAAGAGCCTATTTATAAAATACTTTGATTCATTGAGGTTATGGGCTTGAATCTATTTTTATGATAGATGATCGTGATGAAACAAGATAATTAATTAATAAAACATGAATTCCATGTTACATTTATGTCCATAACTTATTTTAATATTACGATTAAATACTTACAAAGAATATAAAGTTGAATAAACATAGAAAATACTTGGCACACTGTGACATGCAACCCATTTTTATTCGCTGACTTTGGTACTTTTATCTGAAACAGAAAACAAATGTATCAATAAATTTAAACTCTACTATTAAGATAAAACGATTTATATTACCAAGAGAATCAATTTATGACTATTAATATTATCTAAAAACCATTAGAATTATTTCTTCAGGCAAACTATTACTAGAATTTGAAAAAACAGTTGACGAAATACACCATAATGTCATTTATTGATATCACTGATAAGTTGTAATTAGAAAACTACCAATGAAGATAAAAATCATTTAAATTTGAACTCAAAGTTTAAGAGTAAAATGGTGTGATGAAAATTAAAAATAAGAATAATAAAACTTTAAACTGATGTGCCTATACTATAGAACTTCTTTATATTCAGCTTGGAAAGATGCCAAAGTAGCTTGTGTTTATCGTTCATCTTTCACTCATTTAAGAACACACAAGTCGAAGCCATCAATGTCTCATTATGATATGGATTAATAAAATATAGCTTGTAAGTGATAATTTAAAAGATACAACTTTTTTTTTTAGGTTGGTGAGTGAATTAATGGTTTTTAAAATGTAACAAATTTTAATCGAATGATTTTTAATGTGGGAAAAATTATTTAATTATTTTATTTAAATTATGAGTTAATAATAAATATAGAGTTAATTTATTTTTAATGTTTAAATTGTTATCTAGTTTAGAAAATGAATTATAATAAAAATTTATTTGTTCTTTTTTTAATGATTTTATTGTTTGATTAATTAATTTAAAATAATTATTTAGGTATGTAGGAAATTCTTTGAAATAACAAATGAATAATTTTGTACAGATTTGTTTCAAGTGATATGTGACTGGAAATGGAATTTTTACCACCTGAAAATACTATGCTTGGATTTTATTGGTTTATTAAAATAACCACAGAACGAAATATGTTCGTTATCAAATTTTTCACATGGAATAAAATTCCGTGGTTAAAATTTTTATCACAACAAATGTCTATCTTGATATTTCTATTACAATCATTGACAAATGGTGATAAAAAATGTCTGATAAAATGTCTAAAACAATTCAATTTTTTTTTTGTAACAGTCTAGTTATTTTAATTAATCAACAATTTTATTTCCTAGGTAGCAGTTCAATGAATGTTCTGAACATGATTTGCTCGATTTGCAAAATGATTTTTGTAGCTCATAATGAAGTAAATTCAGACTCATTCAAGAATTATTCATATAAAATAGGTAATTCTAAACAATTATTGTTATTAAATATTTTAATAACATTATTAAAAAAGTAATTTTAACTGTCCCCTGGTTTTTTGACTCTAAAAAATTATGAAAATATAAATAAACCAGAACTTATATTAGTTTCAAGCCTTCATATGTTTATGTAAAGGTACCTAATCACGTATAATTGTTGATAACTTTTTTTTACAAGTAATTGAATAAAATTCAATTATTTATCAGCTTTGAAAAATTAAAAATTTACACCACCTAAAAAAATATAACCAGCTGTGATCATACTTCATTAATTTCCAAGTAATTTGCTCATTTAAAAATGAATTACTCTATTTTTTTTACATTGTTTTTAATACAGACATTTAAAAAATAATTTTCAATAATAATAAAGACAAAAGAAATGCAAATAATTAATTATCACCAACAAATAAACACAAAAAATAGTCTAGAGAAAATAAATTAATATTCTCAAGTTAGAAACAAGCATTTTCATATTCCATTACCCCTCTCTTAATGGTCGTTAATGGATTAAAGAAAGTAATAATTTTAAGATTATGCCAGCAAAAAAGTTTTCAAGTCGGAAGCAAGTGTTCTAGTTTATTAAAAGCAAAAAGTTTGACAAAGAGAAGAAGTTAAGCGACAAACATAGTAAGTATATGAAGTAAAAAAGTTTGTTAATGTAGGAAAGAAGAGGAATCGAAGAAGACACAAAGTGGTAGCAAAGAAAAAGATGTAACATGCCAACGGCGAAAGAGAGACCGGATTCGGAGGATGGATTTCTTGGAAGACAAAGTGACCAAGTCGATTAGGGCAAAACTACTTCAAGAATTGTGCACTCTCCAGACATCCAGACAGGGTCGACGATCTCAGTGACACGCGGAAAAGTAGACCGTTCATTTGCCATCCATCCACTTGAAATAAATATCATTCCAACATTATATTATCATTCTTCAAGTTATTTCTTTGATGAAAGACATCAAAATACTACACACAGTGTGTTTACTACGATAGACATCGTGTATGAGAATTAAACGAAAGTCGTGATTAGTTTGATGGTCTTTAGAGATTCGAAAGGTGATCTTCTGGCTATACAGACTCTCGTGAAATTACCTGTAACATAAGCGGAAGTGAGCCAACGAGGCGAGACGTTACGTGTCTCTAATCATCAGATCCCAGAAGAGTAGGTCAGCGCTGTCAGGGACATTTTACTTCAATCCTACCGCATTTTCCAATTAAAAATATCTGTCAATTGGAATAAAATAAACTTTTCTCATTCATTCACAGTCTTTTTAGTTTTCCCTAGGACTCTTTTGATTAAATTAAATTTTTATTTTCTGAGTGATTGTTAATGTTTTGCATAAAAATAAAAAGTGATTAATGAGTTGCATATTATACTATTAATCTTGAAGGAGAAAATATGAGGCAAATGGTGATAATAATAATAATCATCATAATGGTGATAGTTTTCTGACTGAGTAATGTTTCACATGTGTAGAGAGAGAAAAAAATATAAGACTTCGTTTTTTTTTCTTTTTTTTTGTAATGAAGTCAATGAACCCAAGTGCATGTTGATGGCCATCAGAGAGGGTTAATCACCCTCGTGTACAGGAAGAAAATCAATATTATGCAAAGGGAACCTGTCAGTTTGTCATATACACTCAGTAGGATGGATAATAAAATTGAGAAAATCTCACATACAGATCCTTGATGACAAAAATTTCATCAAAATTTGATTATCTTTGTCTTTGGCAGTAGGGTTGATAGGATAGTATGGTAATGAAAGTTTAAATTGAAGAGAAAATATTGATTAAGTAATTTATTTTTTTTAAAATCAATATCTACCTTTAGTTTAATATTGAAATTTTAATTGCATTGATTAAGAAAAAATTCGATTTAATTAAAAAAGAATTTGAAATAAATTAATGTTGCCTTGTAATTAAATGTGTCGCTTAATTAATTAAATTTTTTATCTTGAAACTCATTGTGATGAATAATTATTAGTTAATTTAAAACTTCGATGGAAGAGTATTGGAATAAAATAATTATTTTTATAAAATGGCATAATATTTATTATTTTTATAATAAAATCTAGATGTAGGCACTACTTTATATTTAAAAAAAAAATTTTTTGTTTATAACAAATTGCTATTTTTATAAACAATATACATGACATTATAAAATTACGAATTTAAAAATCGATTCCATTATAATAACTTCGTTATGGCAAGTTAAAAAATGTTTATAAGTTAAAAAAAAAAAGCTTAAAAATTAATACCAATAAATCTGTGGATATTTCCATTCAATTATGAAGGTATTAGATAAGTAAAAAGTATTGTATAAATGCAATAATTCCAATAATTATCTTTCTATTCGGTGAATTTGAAAGTTGTTATATCGAATGATTGTTACAATATTTTTATTTTATATTCACTCAACATCATGATTCATATTCGATCTAGCTTTTTAAGCTTGACAGAACAATAGATTTAGAAAATAGTTTTATTATATAAAATGCAATTTAATAATTATAAAAATTTTTTCATACGCTTTCATTATTGTGTAAATATTAAATAAATTATTTAATATTATAAATTTTTATTAATTGATGTTATCAATGGTTTTACTAGAAAAAAAAAATTGTAGTAAATTTTTTTTATCATAACTGACATCCGATATCAGAAAATAATTTTTTTTTTATCGATAACTGACAATATAATATATAATAAAATACAATGATAGATGCAATATCGTAAAAGCATTGCCATGCACTAGTACTTCACTATAGAAAATATATATTTTTTCATGAAAAGAATATTTTGCAGTAATTTTTTTATATAAACCTTTCAAGAAAATCGTCGAGTATAAATTGAATTTTTTTTATCGTTACTTATTTTTTTTCCCCCATTTATATGACATAAAATTTATCAAAATAAAATACAACTTTATTACTACATTTAAATTCATCATTTTTATGTTAAAATTATTTTTTTTTTTATAGAAAAAAAAATTTGTATTTGATCTAAAAAAAAATCTTTTGAGGTATAAAAAAAAAATATTTTAAAAAATCTAAAAGACGAATTTAAATGAAAAATATAAAAAAAATGGAAATTTTTTCAACTCAGCAAAATACTTTTAATAACAAAGTAAACAAAGACGTTTTTGTCCAGTGAATTTTCATCATTCATTTTATTATCAAAAATCTAAATATGAAATATAATTAAATTTCTCGTAATTTTTTCTTTTTTTTTATAATTGAACACCAAAAGAAGGAAGTAAAATGTTTACCGAATAAGTCTTGCCTTTCCCTTGCAATCCCCTTTGGCATTGCGATTCTCACGAGCGGAGAGATCCGAGATCGCACGCTTGGGTCATGGATTGCACACATATATGTACATAAATATATAGCTGTAGCATTCCGGGTATAAAGCACGTGGTGGCGATACTCTCACGGTCACAATAAGACATGGATTGCGATCCACAATTAATGAGACTCGCGAGAGACTCTCCACCTTTATTTTCTTCCCTTAAGTATATATTATTTTTTATTGTTAGTATCGCCTAAATAACATTGCATTTATTATAACACGTCTCGAGAAATTTTTCCACATTATAGTTTTCCATTCATTTTTCATTTTGTCTAGACAGTTTACTTTATTTTTCCACCTAAACAATTGCTTTCTCATTTTTTTTTTTCTTTCTTGCATGATTTATTTATTTATTATTTACATGAATTATCATAATTATTTTCGCTTCTATTGTTGATTAATATTGTCTCATTTAAATAACTGATATTAATCCTGGTCTATAAT